AGGGCAGCCGCAGGGTAGAGAGGTGGGCAGGCCGGCATACCGCCTTTGTAGCAAGCCTCCCCACCCTCTGCAGCCAGGCCCCTCCCTTGCCCCCCCTCGTTCTCAGCCCCCTCCCCCTCTGCGCTCACCCAGCGAGCCCGAGCGGCCGCTAGGGGTGCCGCTGCCACCACCGCCACCGCCCATGGGGTTGGAAAAGAAGTCGTCGCCTCCGCGGGAGGCGTTGAGGGTGAGGTGGCCATCCTTGCCGCGCTGCAGGGCCGGCTTCTTCTCCTCCATTGCATCCAGGTTGAAGCGGGAGGAGGCGGGGGCCGCGGCGGCGCCCGCAGCGCCGCCCGCTGCCTCTGCTATCTGCAGTACAATCAGTACATGTTGGCAGTACATGTTGGTGGCACGTGGTCCCTCTGCTAGGTTTGGGCGGGCAACCAGGTAGGGTACGAGGGCCGGCCGCGCACACGCAGCCCGCCTGCCTGCACCCCGAACAAGCTCTCAAAGCTGAACAAGCCCTCAGCGCATGGCCCAGCCTGCAGCTGCCGGGGGTTGTGCCAGGGCTGCCTGGGGCTGGCGGCTGCGGTTGTGTGGCGCGGGGGCTTACCGAGGGCATGGCATCTGGCACCGCCACCACCTCCTCTTGCGGCGCCTGCTCAAACAGCGCGTCGTCCACCTTGGCGCCCATCTTCTTCACCCCCAGCCCCGATCCCTTGCCGCCCGCCTTGCGCGGCGCCACCAGCCGCGTCTTGCCCGTGGGCGCGCGCGGCGCGCTGCTGCTGCTGGGCGCTGCGGCGGACGGCGGCGGCGCCGTCGGCGCTGCGGCCGCCGCCGCCGCGCCGTTGCTGGCCGCAGCGGCCGGCGGCGGCGGCGCGGGCGCGGCCGCCGTCGTGGGCTTGGGCGCCGCGATGCTCCCCCACAGGTCTGCCGAGCCGGGCTGCTGCGGGGAGAGGGCGGAGGGGGAGCCCGGGGCCGCCTCGGCCGCCAGCTTGGCGGCGTCCTTCTCCAGCTGCTTGCGGTACAGCTGCGCGGAGCGGGACGTGTACTTTGCCTCGATCTTGTCCGACCCGATCTCGTCCCAGCCGTGCTGCTTGAAGAAGGTGCGCGCCCGCTGGTTGCCGCCCACCGCCATGAGCCGCAGCTGGTCCTCGGACCAAGTGTCCAGCGTGGTGGACCTGTGGCGAGGCGACAGGACACAGGCATAGACCATAAGGATAGCAGCATGCAGGGACCGAATGAACAAGGTACCAGGGGCCGCGCGCGGCAGCAGGCAGCAGGGAGGGTGCGCGGGTGTGCGGCCAGCCCGGGCCGGCGGCAGCGGTGCGGCTATGGTTGCACGGGGGTCGGTTGGGGCAGTACACGCACCCAGCGGCGGCAGCGAGCTGGCAGGCAGGCATCGGCGGCAGCAGCAGCAGCACGTGGTGGAGCAGCAACCAGGCGGCAGCCAACAAAACAGCACGCCGGCGTGCAAGCAGAAACACATGGGCGGGCGTCGTGCGACGGCGGCGGGTGTGCCCCCAGCTGACCCGCACCTCACGAAGCTCAGGTGCACGCCCAGGCTTCGATGGATGCCGGCGCAGGACAGGCATATGAAGACGCCATAGGGGACGGAGGCCCAGGTGGGGTTCTTGGCGGGGCAGTCGAAGCAGACCTGCGGGGAGGCGGGGGCCGCGGCAGACGGGGTGGGCGGGTGCAGCTGTGCGCCGTCAGGGGTCCACACCCGCGATCTGTCGCTGTCGCAACTGCATGAGGCTGGCCTGGGTGTGGCCCAGGCAGTTGTGACCCTGCAGACCCCTTGCATGGCCCGCAGCTAGATCGTGGGCTGGCCAGGGGTCCCCCGAAGCGGGGGCGGCACTCCCCAGGCACGCCTGCGCGCGATGTCAGACCACCAGCACTCACTTTGTTTTCTGGCTTCGATCTGAGCCTCTTGAACAGGATGTCCCGCTCCAGAGCCATGTTGGGCGAACAGCAGGCGCTTCGGGCGGCCTGGCGATGAAGGGGATGGCCCTGGCAGGTACATGCGGCGGTACGTTTCGCGAAAGCCGGCACAGCCGCCGCAGCCTCGCCGCAGTCAGCCCCCTCCCTTCATCCCAGCAGCGATCAGGAGGGCACAACGGCGGTTGCAGCTCGTGGAAGAGTCGGGCACCGATCACTTTGGTTTCGAAGAGGCCCAGCAGCCCAAGATGGCCGAGGACCAGGTCCTGCAGCTGGTCAAGGGCCAGAACCGGCCCTACAATGTGCAGGCAAGCGCGCCGGGCCGGAGGCGTGGCATCCAGAGCACGCCGGGCGCGGCAGGCAAGCACGTCGCCTGCTTGGGCAAGCGCTTTGCAAGCCTGCCTGCCTGCCTGCCTGCAGGGCGTGGCCGACATGCTGGCCACCAAGGGAGTGAAGAAGGTGGCGGCAGAGCGGGCGCTGGAGGCGCTGGTGGCACAGAACAAGCTGGTGGGTTGGGCTGGCACGTCGGCGGTGCGGCCTTGCACGCCTTGCAGGGCGGTGTGAGGCGTATCCACGCCTGCCGGTCACCCGCCGCCTCCTCACACCGCTGCGCATGTCGCTGGTGCCGCGCCCAGTACACCATCAAACCTCCCTGTCTCCTCCTCTTCTCCCGCCCTGCCTGCCTCCACCTGCTCCACACCCTCCTTTCTTCCCTTTTTGGGCAGGTTCGCAAGGAGTTTGGCAAGCAGAAGCTCTACATACCCAGCCAGGAGGGGCTGGCGGCGCTGACCCCGCAGGAGGCGGCGGCCAAGCAGGCGCGCCTGGCGGAGCTGCAAGCGGCGTGCCGGGCGGAGGAGGAGGCGGTGGCAGCGCTGCGCAAAGGTGCGGTTTGTGGGGCGGGTGGGACGGGGGGCTGGCTTGGTCAGTCGGGGTTGGCTGGTTAGTGTGTAGGTGGATGCTTGGCACCACGTGTGGCTGGGCTGGGTGCAGAGGGAGGGCAAGTGCTTGCCTGCCTGGGCTTCCAGCCGCGTGCGCCCACCCTGCCTCAGCCCCCGGCGCCTGCCCTGCCCTGCCCACCTGCCCCCCCCCCCTCTCCCCGCCCTCTCCCCTCCCGCAGAGGTGGCGGCCGCCAGATCTGTGCTGACTGCGGAGCAGATGCGGGAGCAGATAGGGCAGCTGGGTGCGCAGAGCAAGCAGCAGGGGGAGAAGCTGGCGCGGCTGCGGGGCGCCGGCGCGCGCCTCGTGTCGGCGGCAGAGGTGCAGAAGGCGGAGCGGGTGAGAGGGGGAGGCCGGGTGGGGGCGGCCAGCAGGCGCTGCCGGCCAGTGGGAGGGCCAGCAGTTGCAGCAGTGTATCCATCTGCCGCGCCTGAAGGAAGGACATCAGGCGGAGGCAGAGTGCGATTAGGGTGTTGCGGGGCAGCAGGGGCAGCAGGGGCAGCAGGCGAAGGGGCCATGAGGGAGGGCCAGGGGGAACAGCAGCAATAGCCAGGGCGTGGGTGGGACATGGGAGGGCGCCCAGCACGCCCCAGCCCTGCCTCTCGCCGCGCCGGCGCCTTACTCCCGCCTGCCTGCCTCCCTCCCTGCAGACGCTGGGGGAGCTTCATGACGCCTGGGCCCGCCACCGCAGGCAGTTCCGGGCCGTGTGGGACTGCGTGTCCGAGGGGCTGGAGGGCAAGGAGGTGGGCAAGCATCTCGGCTTGGCCTGTGTGCCGCTGTGGTGTGTGCCTGGCGGATGTGCGCTGGGTGTGTGTGCTTGGTGTGCGTGGCGGCGCGCAGGGTGCGCAGCTGTGCACATGTGCCGCCACTTGCCTCAACCCTTTGCATGTGCCGCTCAATTTTTAAGGTCACAGCCTGCCCCTGCACCCCCTCCAAGGTTGCAGCCAACCGACTTACTGCCGCTGCCTGCCCGCCCACCCCTCCTCGCCCGCAGGAGGCGCTGTTTGAGGAGATGGGCGTGGAGAGCGACAGAGCGGTGGGGGCGGACTTTGAGGGGTGCCGCGCGCTGGCGCAGCCGCTCAAGAAGGCGCGGGTGGTGCTGGCACCGCGCCAGTGACGCACCTCGCCCAGCGGCAGCTGGCGGCTGGCGCCAGTGGGGGCGAGCCGCCAGAGGGGCCAAAGCGGCGCTGCAGGGCAGGCCGGCGCTGGCTGCGCTCAGGCTGCCTGTGTTCGACCCGGCTGGAGTTCATGATTCCATCCTTGCTCCTGGTTTGGTGCGCACACATGTGTGCCAGTTCTTGACAGCACGCCAGGGCACACGCCTGCCCAAGCAACACAGCCGGCACATGCTGCCGGCTGCCAACATGAATGAGTGCAGTGCAAACATAACCAAACTGGAGCAGTCGACGGGACGGGCGAAGCGGGGCAGCCTCCTGTTGCGCCAACTACAGCCACCCACCCACCCAGTCAGGGCAGGAAGGGCAGGAAGGAGTCGCGGCTCATGTGGCTGGCGCCGTGCCCGCCGCCGCCGCCCGGCCCGCCACCCCCCGCGTTGCCCCACAGCAGCTGGGCGGAGCCGGGGCAGGCCCAGATCACTCGCTCCAGCGCCTCGGAGCACAGCCGGTTGCTGCCGCCCAGGTCGTCCATGCAGTGGGCCCACTCCAGCGGCGCCAGCTGCTCCCCAGCTTCCTCCGCCGCCGCGCCGCCGCCGTCCTCCCCCTCTTGCCGCCGCTCGGGAGGAGCTGCTGCGGCTGCTGCTGCTGCGCCCTCACCTGCACACGGCGGCAACACACAGGAGAGGCGGGTGTGTGGGGGTGGGTGGTGGAGAACATGGGCTAATGCGGCAAGCAGCTGGGTTAAGGGGGGGCACAGCCACCCGCAATCCCCCAGCACAGCACCGCCTTGACACCACCGCTGAAAACAAGCCCAAGCAAGCCCAACCAAGAATCGCAGCGTGGCCTTGAGTGCTTCCAGCACACATCCCAAGCCCTCACCCGTAAAGTAGAACACGAGCCACACACCCTACCCACACCCACCCACCCACCTCACCCACCCACTCACCCACACACTCGACCCACAACCACCCACCCACACAACCCACCCTGGAAGCGCAGCATGGCTTTGAGGGCCAGCAGCACCGCGGAGCCCAGCGCCCCCCCCAGGTGCGCCGACAGCTGCTGGATGAAGGCGGTGTCGTGGGCGGGCCAGCCCGAGGGGCCCAGGTCCAGACCAGGCACCTGCAGGCATTCAAAGCAGCGGAGGCGGCGGCGGTTTCGTGGAGGCGAGCGAGTGTGCGCAGCTGCGCGCGGCGTGTGGTGCTGGTGGGGGTGCGCAGGGAGGCGGAAACCCCAGGGAAACAAGGCAGCAGGTGCTGAAGGGAGCGGCGGCGTAGGGTTGGGAAGGGAAGAAGCTGGCATGGCAGGCCCTCTCGCTGCCATGCCCGCTCCCATGCCCGCCGCAGTGCCTGCCGTGGCGCGGCCCCCGGGCGGCGGCTCACCTGGAAGATGGCTGTCAGGCAGGCGACGGCGGCCTGCTGGTAGCGCTCGCCGCCGCGCTGCGCCACCTCGGCCAGCCGCTGCAGCACGAGGCGGGCGTAGGCGGGGAAGAGGGCGGTGCAGAGCGCCTGCAGGCGGTGCAAGGCGGCAGGGGCAGCGCGGGGTGAGGGGACAACCTTTGGCCAGCGGGCGAGGAGGCGAAGACATAACAGACGAATGGAGTGTTGGCGGGGCAGGGCGAGGAAAGTAGCCTGGCCTAGCCCTGCTGCCGGCGGCTGCCGTGCCAGTGGCGTCAGGCAAAGGCGGGGCTCGGGGGCGACGAAGGGCAGCGCCGCGGCCCAGCACGTGAGGAGCGGGGAGCGGCACACGCCCGCATGCAGCGTGCAGCGCCCGGCCCGCCGGCGCCTCACCGTGCACAGCGGCGGCAGCCACTGCTCCGGCTCCTCCGCCGCGCCCGCCATGCCCGCCAGCGCGCCCAGCGCGGTCGCCAGCTGGCTCCAGCCCAGCGCGGCGCAGGCGCCGGCGCTGGCCTCCAGGAACCCCTCCACCACGCTCTCGGGCCCCACCTCCCGCAGGTGCACGCACAGCCAGGGCAGCGCCGCGCCCAGCGCGATTGCCTGCCCCGCCCTTAGGTCCCCGAGAACCGCTTCGATAGGAGCGGCGGCGCCGCTGCCGTCCGCAGCAGCCAGCAGCAGTCCGTCTGCCAGGCTGAGGCAGCTGAACAGGTCCGCACCACCTGCGCCGCCCGCGCCGCCGTCGGGGCCGCCGTCGCCCTCGCTCGCAGCGGTGGCGGCGGCGGCGGCGTTGTTGGCGCGCTGCACGGCGGCGTCGCTGCGAGCCACCTGCTCTGCCACCGCCCCCAGCACCTCCAGCGCCAGCAGCTGCGTCTCTGGCTGGAACAGCGCCTTCACAACAAGCTGCTGCAGGGCCAGCCAGGGGCCCAGTGCCTCCTCAACTTCCGGCTCCGCCGAGCCCCCCAGCAGGCCCTGCAGGCGGGTGCAGGAAGGGGGGTGGCGCCACGCGGCCTGGTGGGCTTGGGGGCAGGCAGGCAACAGACAGCGGCGAATGCATGCAGCGGCAGGCGGCGGACCGCCCCCAACAGAGCGCCGGCAGCAGCCTGCGGGCCTGCAGCCCAGCCCACCGCCGCCCTCCTTTCCGCGTGCGCAGCCACGTGTGTGGTTAGGCAGGCAGGCGGGAGGCCCCCACCTGCCCCACAGGCCAGATGGCACCTTCCAGCGGCACCGCCGCCGCCGCGCCGCCGCCGCCACCTCCACTGCCGCCGCCGCCGCCTTCCTCGCCGTCCTCTGGCAGCGGCAGCATGGCCAGCACCGTGCTCTGGACTATCGGGTCATTCAGATCCACAACCGCCAGCAGCTGCAGCAGGTGTGTGTGTGTGTGTGTGTGTGTGTGTGTGTGTAGCAACACAGGAGAAGGCAGTCGGGGGCAGCAGGGGCGAGCGGCGTGGCAGCGGTCGGCGACGGGCACAGGGCGAGCAGGAGAAGGGCGGCAGCGTCAGCACGAGCGGCACCGGCACACGCATGGGCAGCAGCTGCCACGCAGCAGCAGCAGCGGCAGCAGTAGCAGCAGGCAGGAAGCAGGAAGGGAGGCAGCCCAGCAGGCGGACCGGCGGCCAGGTGACAGCCCCCCTACAACCCCACCTGCAGCAGCAGGTGCATCGCCAGCTCCACCACCCGCACCACGCTGCTCTGCAGCAGCGCCACGCAGGCCAGCAGGAGCTGCGGGTAGAGCAGCGCCTTGGCCGGCTCGGCCAGCAGGCCCGCCAGCAGGGCGCGCAGCGAGCACAGCACTTCCACCGCGGTATCCAGGGATCCCGTGTCGGACCCCGAGGCGCGGCCAGGGGCCAAGCACTTGTGCAGCGCCGCCAGCATGGCGGACGCCGACTGGGCGCCCAGCACGGGGCGCAGCGCGCAGAAGGCCTGGTGCGAGCGGGAGGCTGCGTGGCGGGAGCGCGCGCCGCACGTCCAGCGCAGCGCCTCGCCGCACCACTGGTCCCGCAGCTCGCGGTCGTACACAAAGCACTCGGCGACTGCAGGGGGGCGGGGTGGAAAGCACACGCAAAGCATGCGGTGACTGCCCGGGGCGGGGTGGCAGGTATGCACAAAGCAGTACGTCAATGCGCGGGGTGGGGTTGCCGGCGGCGCATGCGCATGCGGGCATGTTGAGTGTAGGGTGTGGTGCAGTGAGAGGGCGGGAGGGGCGGGGCAGCTCCCACACGTAAGCAGGTGGGCTGAGAGGGAGGGGTGCAGACAGGTGAGGCATGCCTAGCTGGGCTGGGCTGCTCTGAGAACTAGCTCTGAGAGCACCTGGGGCTGGGCCGGCGCGCCCGCGCACCTGTCTGCACAAACACCGCCACCGCCGCCGCGCTGGGCACCATGGGATGCGCCAGAGAGGGCTGCTCCCGTGGCCACAGCTGCTGCCCCAGGCGCGCCTGCAGCTTGGACACCACCTCCGCCACGCCCTGGCACTCAAGGGAAGGGGAGCCGGCGCTCTGCGGGGCAGGCAGGCGGGCAGGCGGGCAGGCAGGCAGGGAGGGAGGCGGGAGGGCAGGCGGGCAGCAGCGCTCTTTGAGCAGGGCAGGGCAGTACAGGGGCAGGCCCGGCGGGTAGGTGGAGGGCAGGCAGGCAGGAAGGCGGGCGTGCGTGCACTGAGCAGCGCATACGCTCCAGCATAACCATATTTTGGCCGAGAGATACGGTGCTGCTACTCTACAGAGCAGGCAAAGGCAGGTGGGATGGGGGGGACCCCACCGCCGCCAGGCGGGCTCCCACCAGGCAGCCCAACCAGCCGGGGCGGGGCGCGGCGGGCCGGCATAGCCATACAGGAGTGCATGCCACATGCGCCTGCCTGCCTGCCTGCCCGCCTGTCCCTGCCCGCCGGTGCTGGGAGTGCTTGCCTGTGCCGCCTCCAGGTGTTTGAGGGAGAGGGAGTAGAGGAGGTGGACGAGGAGCTGCTGGGAGTCCCGCCGCACCAGCGGGCTGCAGCTGTCGGCGTTGATGAGGCACAGGTGCAGCAGCTGCGGGGGCAAGGTGCAGGTGAAGGGTAGGGACAGGGGTCGAGGTGGGGGGTGGATGGAGGAGGGGAGAGCAGGATGGGGGATACAGGGGGTGAGGGCGGGGCGCGAGGCGCGGCACGGCACCCCAGGCTGCCCTCGCAGCTACACGCGGCAAGCCGCGGCCGGCCGCGCGGCACGGGAGCGCGGGCGTCGCTGGCGCGGGCGTGCGGGGAGGGAAGCGGCGTGCCTGCGGCAGGTGCTGCCGGAACTCCTCGTCCTGCTCGTAGGCCACCTCTATGAGCAGGCTGAGGGCCATCTCGGGACGGGTGAGCGGCAGCCTGCAATGGGCAGCGGCAGCAGAGAGAGAGAGCGAGAATTGGTGGTTGGGTGGTTGGGTGGTTGGCAGGGCGGCATGCCTGCTGGAGCGGCAACGGCAGAGGAGAGGCATGCTGGCAGGCGGCAGGGAGCAGCGGGCTGGCTGGCTAGGTGAAGCAGTGCAATGAATGCGCCCGACGAGGGCTGCTGCCTGCCGCAGCGGTCGCCGCCGCACCTGCGGCCGCCGCCGTCGCCGCCGCCGCCGCCGCCTCGGCTCAGGCTGTTCTGCCGGCTGTCAAAGCTGCTGCGGGCGTCCGACATGGAGCCGGCCTTGCTCATCATCCCGGGCAGGCGCGGCGCCGAGGCGTCGCCCGCCGCCGCCGCCGGCAGCGTGCCGCTGCCGGCGCTGGCCAAGCCGCCGCCGCCGTCGCCCGCGCCGGAGCCGCCGTCGGACCAAAGCGACTGCGCCCTGAGCAGCTGCTCGAACATGGAGACCCGCTTGTTGAAGCTGCCGGGACCGCCGGTACTGCCACCGCCGCGGGTGGACCCTCCCGGGGTGCCCGGCCGGGATCCCGAGGCGGAGCCGGGGCCGCCCTCGCCGCCGTCGTCCCTCGGCAGGATGCTGCCGGCTGAGATGCGGTGCAGGGCTGGGAGCTGCGGGTGGAGCAGGGAAGACTTGGTGCGCTTGTGGTGGTACTCCAGGATCTGTACCGCAGGTTGTTTGGGGAGAGAGACGTGCTGTTAGGGAGGGGGAGGGGCAGGGGTTACGCCATGTGTGGGTTCGGTTCTGCTTAGTGGAGGGGAGGTGAACGGCTCGTGGCGCATGGGGCAGGCAAGCGGGGGACGGGAGGGGGAGAGGGAGAAGCTGCACTCGCGCACGCGCATGTGTGTGTGTGTGGAGGAAGGGAAGGGAGTGGGCACTGGTAGCGGGTGGCCAGTATTGCCCAGGAGGAGGAATGCGAGGCCAGGAGGGAGGCCAGGAGGGAGGCACAGAGGAGGCGGGAGGGCACAGGTCGGGTCCAGCGTGTCGCAAGCACCCACCGATGTAGGGTTCAGGCCCACCTTTGGGGTGCCGTCCGGGGTGCGGGAGGCAAAGGGCGAGGAGGCGGGCTCGTCGGCGGGAGCGTCGGGCTGCTCGATCTGCTGCAGCGCCTCGTGCACCAGGTGCCCCACCACCTGGCGCGCCGCCACGCGGGACAGGTACACCACTATCTGCAGTACAAAGGTAGTACGCGTGGGCAGCACATGTCGGTGGCACGTGCGGGACAGGCGGTGTGGGCAGGGTAGATAGGGTAAGCAAGGCAGGGCCTAGCATGGCGCCCGCAAGCCTGCAAGCCTGCAACCCATCCCGCCTTCCTTTCCCACAGTCCGCCCCTCTGCCCCTCCGCACCTCCTTGCCGGTGGCCGCGGGCGCGGCGCCGTCCTCCCTGACGGCATCCTCCTTCAGCCCTCTGTCGATCAGAAAGTTGAGGGCAGGCACGATGCTGAGGCGGTTGGCGGCCAGGGTGGCCCACAGGCGCTGCAGGCGAGGCAGGCGTGGAGGCAGGGGAGGAAAGCAGAGTGCCTCGCGTGAGTGCTGACCAGGTGCAGCCGCAGCTGCACCTTTCAGCAGGAAACCATCCAAAACAAGCGCCGCGCAGGCAAAGGCGCCTGTCCACCAGTCCGCCAGGCCCCCGGTGTGCAAGAAGAAGATGAGCAGGCGTGCAGGCACCCGCCGCGCGCCCCATTTCCCAAACAGCCGCCAGGCACGGCCACACCTCGTGCGCCTGCCGGTCGCTCTGCTTGGCGGTGATGCGGTACAGCGAGTCCAGCAGTGTCTGGGACCAGTGACCCTCCCACTGCAGTACCAGACAGGGGCGATGCAGCTTCATACATCCCCTACGGCAGCCACGTCTGGGCTGGGGTGGTGTATACGGTGGCAGGGAGCTTGGCCGGGGGCCTATGGGGGCCTGTGTCAGGCAGCAGCGCCCCTAGCCCAGAGCAGCGCCCTGGCCGCCTTCCCCCGCCGCCCCAGCGGCCCTCTCGCCCGGCAAGCGTGCCAGCGCCTGGCGGCCGCAGCCGCCGCCCACGTGCCTGCGTGGGGATGGTCACGAATTCCAGCCAGGGGCAGAGGCTGAGCAGGGCATCCGGACCGCTTGTGTTGACTAGCTGCCGCCCCAGCACCTCGTTCGCCACCGCGTCGCTGCAGCGGCAGGGGTGGGTGGGGCGGTAGGGTGGTGCCGGTGATGTGCGTGTGGAGGATTGGAGCTGGCGCAGGCTGGGGGCAGGCAGGCAGGCAGGCGTTGCGCAGCGGCAGCGGCACTAGCGCAGGTGTAGGGGAGGCACGCTCTCAGCCGGCCGAGCACATAAGCACGCACCCACACAGCCTCACAGCCACACAACCAGACGACCACTGCCAGCCACCGACAGCCGCCGCAGGCCTCACCTCAGGCCGTGATGCTCCTTTGCCAGCCTGGCAGACAGGCGCAGCTGGTAGGAGGCATAGGAGTTGGCCAGGGAGCCCACCACCTCAGTGCTGTCCGCGCCCGCCGGCGCCTGCTGCTGCGCGGTGAGCGGCCCCGAGGCGGCCTCGTGCTGCTCGCTGCGGGGCGGGCGGCACACGGGAGGGCGGGCGGGGGCGAGGGCGGGCGGGGGAGTTGGGGGGACAGAGGATGCGGTGCCAGGCGCAGCGTGCGTGGTGGTGCAGGGCAGCAGGCCGCAGCAGCCGGCATCTGCAACAGCAGGCAGCTGTGTGGGCATGCACAAGCAGCTGTCCCGACGCAAGCTGTTAGCTTGCCGGCAGCCGCTACAGCATAGCATCTCCAAGCCAGCTGTACCGCCCCGGCCCACCTGTACCGCGGGTCTCGCCCCCACGCCCGCCTGGCCAGCAGGCCCAGCAGGCCCCGCGCCGCATCCCGCACCTCCCGCCGCCGGTCCACCACCTTATGCAGTACAAGCGATACACCAATGTACTCCGGCAGCGGCAGCGGCCGCGCCGCATACACCTCGCGCAGGACCTGCATCGCAGCATGCGTAGCGTGGCAACGGCGCGGGGGCGCAGGCACAGGCGGTTGGCGCAGGGCGGCAGGGAGGCCTGGGTGTCTGTGCCTTGCAGCGAAGCTGCGCGGTACGGCATGGAAACGCGAGGAGGCCCGGGGCGAGGCAGGTCAGGTCAGCCATGCCTGTGTTCCTCTTACTGCCCCCCCTCCCCTTGATACACCTGGATACCACATGTACCAGGTATCCCGGTGCCCACCTGGAAGTATCCCGCCGCCACCTGCTGGTTGGGCGAGTAGGAGCGGTCCACAAACACAGAGGACAGCTCGCTGTTGCTCTGCAGGCAGGCAAGGGCAGGGCAGGGGAGGCAGGGCAGGCACGTCAAAGCTCGGCCCGCGCTGGCAGGAGAGGTAGGCAGGCAGGCAAGGAAGGGAATCAGGAGCGCGTGCATGTTAGGCGCGGAATGCAGGAGAGGAGGGGCAGGGCAGGGGCCAAGAGGATGCAGGGTGTTTGAGGCGGTTCCAACGCCTATTCGATTACATAATACATATTGGCGGCACCGCAGCAAGGCGCGGCACCCACCTGCAGCAGGTTGGTGAGAGCGCTGCGCGCCACGGCCTCCTTGGGCGGCCCCCAGTCGGCCAGGCGGGCGGTGGCGGGCTGCGCGCTGAGCATGCGGTCGATCCAAGCAAACACGCGACCCTGCGGCGCAGCAGGCGGGGCGGCGCCGTTCACACACATGTGGGGCCTGGCAACGTGTGGCCAGGGTAGCAGCGGCGTTGGCGGCGGCCCACCCAGCTGGGATCATCTAGCGCAGACAGCGCAAGTGCTGGCCTGCCCAGCCCAGCACGTGCCAGCTCAGCCCGCTGCCGTCCGCCTCGCCTGCGGGTTTGCCACGTCAGCGCTGAACAGAGGCCCCACCAGCATGGCCGCCATCCCCAGGTAGGCAGCATGCTCCAGCACCTCTGCAGGCGCAGGGGCAGCCGCAGGCGTCGTCGAGCGGCGCAGGAGACTGGGACCAGGCAGCTTCTCAAGGCTGGAGCAGCCTGGCAAGGATGCGGCAGAGCGGCACCGGCATGCGGGAAGCTTGCCGATGGGGAGCAGGCCCAGCTGCAAGCATGGACGGGCTGCCAGCCCTGGCCTCCCTACACACCCACCCCAGCCGCCAAACCACCCGCAGGACCACACACGCGCGCACACACACAGCTACACACACACACACACACACAAACACACTCACAGACACACAATCACACACACACACCACCGCCCTCACCCGAGCTGTCCACTATGTCTGTCTCCATGACACGGCTGGCATCCACATCCTTTATGCGCTGCTTGGCTGCACAGGCAGGCAGGCGGGCAGGCGGGCGGCAGCGGGCCGTCAGTTGGCAGGCAGGCCGGGGCCGACCAGCCAGCCAGCTCGCCGTGGCCTCAGGTCACACACGCTCCCCGCCGACGGTCCTGCGCTCGTGCTCCCCATCCTCAGGCATGCTGCCCTGCCGCCAGCAATGCATCCACCCACCCTGCGCAATGATGCGGCGGAGGTCGTTCCTGAACTGCCCCGGCTGCTGCGCCTCCTCGCAGTACAGCCCAAACATGTCGTACAGCGCTCGCCGGGTCTGCGGTAGAGGTGGCGGTACATGCCAGCGGTACATGTGAGCAGTACGGTGTGGTCACCGGCGGCGACAGGCCAAAGCGATGGCGCATGCTGGATGCTGGGAAGATGCCGGCAGGGGAAGCTTGGGGCAGCTTTCCAGTGGCCAGAACACCGGCGCGCCACGCCCACACCGCGAGCCCACCTGCACCGGGAAGGCCTGCGGCAGCGCCTGCCCCAGCTGCCCGCCGCACTGGCGCGCCACGGAGCACAGGCAGTAGCGCAGCTGCTGCAGCTCGGGGGAGACGTCGGCGGTGGTGGTGATGTGGCGGGCAGTGTCTCGCACAAACTCGATCAGCTTGTCCCGTACCACCTGCGGTATCGCAGGAAGGGCGCATCAGAGGCACAGGCGGGTGGGCAGTTGGGTGGGTGGGTGGGTGGATGCGTGCATGTATCGCACGAGTGCGTGTACGGCGAGGGACGCAGTACGCCAGTCGAGCCACTCAGCCAGGCAGCTGCCTTGTGGCCGCCACCCCCCTGGCGGCACACCCAGCACAGCACGCACAGCATGCACAGCACACGACCACACCACCGGGCCCCACCCACCACGTTGTCCGCCAGGCTGCCCGGCGGCAGGTTGTCTGCCAGCATGCGGGTGAGGTGGGCGTGCGCCAGCCGCACATCATCCTTCTTCGCCGCCTTGCGGCCCATGCCGGGCACCGAGGGCATGCTGATGCTCTGCGGGGGCGGGGAGCGAGAGCCGTGGGGCAAGGGAGGAACATAGGCTTTGCTTGAGGGGAGCTGAGCGGGCGCAGGGAAGCGGAGGCCGAGCTAGGCTGACAGTTACCGGGAGGGCAGCACTGCGCATGCCGCCGCCAGTGTCACCACAGCTGCCATCCAGAGCACGAGCCAGGGCACGGCCGAAGCCCAAGCCCTCCCCCTGACACACCTGCACGCCTCCACAGCCCCACAAGCACTCACCCGCTGCATCTGCCTGTCCAAGTAATCTTCGGCCAGCACCGAAGCCTCCAGCAGCACCAGGGCGTGGCAGGCCGGGTGCACGCACCCCAGCGCCAGCACCGCCGTCGCCTGCTGCACCTCGCCGCCGTTGCGCACGCTGGCCACCAGCTGGCGCACCAGCTCTCGGCTGGTCAGGCTGCGCTCGCCCAGGCGGGAGGCGTCCAGCAGCGGGGCTGCCGCCAGCGCCAGGCAGTAGGCGCGGCTGAGGTCTGTCTTGGCGTCGGGGGGCAGCACCTGGCGGCCATTAGAGTCCAGAGACAGTAGGCCCTGCAGGGGGAATGGCTTGGGGAAGCAGTTGGCTGGGGTGGTGGCTGGCTGGCTTGGGGTTTGGCAATGATGGGGGCCGTTGGTGCTTGGCTGGCGGTGCTCGTGTGTTAGGGTGTTATGTGTGGCGGGAGTGGACGGGCACGCGGTCGACACACATTCCCGCTATTCACACTGAGAAGCAGGCACAGCCGGCTGTGTGCTCTCTGTGCGCATATGGGGTGCACCACGCTTCCATCCTCGCCGCAAAACACACCGCCGATTACCACACCACGCCACATCCACCGCCCTACTCCACCCCAGACCACACCCCCACATACCACACCTACCTGAAGCTTGGCGATCAGCTCCAGGTGCGCCACCCAGGCCGACTTGTCGGCCCGCTGCCACACCTGGCGCATGACCTCACACAGCGTGCGGGCCCAGCGGGTGGCGTCCTGCAGGGCAGCGGGGCCGGCGGAGGAAGGCAGGAGGATGGCGGGGTGGGGCAGATGGTGCACGGTGGGGCTGGGCAGGCTGGCACATCAGACGGGCGCACGGGCGGGCAGGCAAGAGGCCGGGCAATGCGCAGGCAGGCAGGGAGCACGCAGGTACACGCGCGGGCGGGCGGGCAGGCAGGCAGGCAGGCCAGGCGGGAAGCAAAGCAGTGCGTGCCTCCTGGGTCCGCGTGCGCTGCATGCAGGCCTCGAAGGTCGCGCCAGCGTCGGGCAGCGGGCGCCATGCGCGCCACAGGTCGGACCAGCGCCCAAAGTCCCAGAAGCAGCGGGCCACAATGGCGGCGCCGCTCCTGCGCACAGCAGGCAGTGGAGGCTGGGCGGACCTGAGCATGCGCGCCATGGAGGCCTGACGTCAATGGAGGCTGAGCGGGCTGAGCGGAGGCTGGGCGGAGGCTGGGCGGGCTGCCGGAAGCCACACCAGCGGGAACGGCAGGCGTGGCAGCAGGCTCCGGCACAGGTGCCATGCAGGCTAATGGCAGCCTCTGTATAATGCAGCCTCCGGATACCGCAGCCTCTAGATACTGCAGCCTCCGGATACTGCCCAGCAGCCTGCAGCCGTAATCACGAACTCACCTGTCAATTATGTCAGCGGCATACACCAGCTTGGGGCTGCCGCCGGGCGTGGTGGGCAGGCTGCCCGCCAGCAGCTGCGACGCGGAGCCGTGGGCCGAGGTGCCCCGCCGGCCCCACGCCTCGCCGCCCCCAGACTGCAGGCTTGCGCGGCGCGAGGCGGGCCCCTCTCCTGCCCCCGAGTGGTGCATGGTGGCGCGCTTGCTGCTGGGCTGGGGGGGGCTGGCCAGAGTGCGGTGCAGGTCCCGGGCGGTACGCATGAGCTCCACGCCGAGCCGCCGAACCTGGGAGGGCAGGCGGGGGCAGGGGGGCAGGCGGGCAGGCGGGCAGCAGGCGGGCATTCGGCAGGCGTGCTGGCAGGCAGGCAGGCAGCCAGCAGCCGGGCGATCTCCTCGCTTCCCCCCCGCCCGCGTTCTCAAGCCCGCCGGTGCCCATCCGCCACCCACACACTCCACCTCCTGCTCCTCCCACCAAGCCACAACCAGCACCACCCACCCACCCACCCACCCACCTCCACATCTGTGGAGCACAGCAGCACCAGCGCCGACCCCTCCACCCGCGCCAGGCTGTCAAAGGCCGCGAGAGGAGCCGGCGCCCCGCCTGGCGCCGGCGCCGGCCACTCCGACACCGCCAGCCCCATCCACTCCCGCAGCAGGCTGCAGCAGGGGGCAGGGCGTGCGGGGTGGGCCAGGAAGGTGGGTCGGCAGGGTGGGTGGCGACAAACGCCGACGGTGTGCGGGCAGCTCGGCTGAAATTGCGGCGCCGGACACTGCAGCTGGTGCCAGCTGCCGCCACCTGACCCCGACCCCGAGCCAACAACTCGCACCCACACACCTACCCACACACATGCGCACACACCTGAGCAGCAGCAGCAGCGAGTCCTTGATGACTTCTGGGTAGTCCTCCTGCTCACACACACACACACACACACACACAAACATTGTATTGGGTTCAGGCAACAGCGCAGGTGCCAGCAGCCAGGACGACCATCCCACGGCGAGGCCGGGAGGCGGCAGCTGCTCCAGCGCCCGCCACCACCGAAACGAAGGGCTGCCTGCTGTGCGTACGAAAGAGGGTTCCCTGTGCAGGGCAGCGTGGGCTTGCGGCGATATTATCGTCAGCCGCACCTGGATGCGCACCACAAAGGCGGCAAAGGCACCCACTAGCTTGTCCCGCAGGCCGGGCAGCGCGCGCACCACGCGGCGCAGCACGGTGGTGGAGACCTGTGGTGGAGCAGGCGGGGTGGGGTGGGTGGCTGGAGGTGGGTGGATGGAGGTGGCCGGTGGGGTGGCTGCCAGGCTCGAGTTGGCCGCCGGTGGAGTGGGGTGGCATGTGGCGGCGGTGTCACGGCCGCAGGCAGGCATGGTGTGCTCTGCTGTGTTGGGGCGTCGCGGCCCTGCGTCCCCGCCGCCCCAGCCACCCATCTCAGAGCCACACTGGCGACCGTCTCGGAAACCTCCGCCGCCCAGCCAGCCCGCCCAACAAGCCAGGCGCAGCCAGGCGCAGCCCTCCCACCAGGCAGGCCCACCTGGCGCATGGAAGGCTCGGCGTGGATGGTGTAGCCGGGGAGGTCCTCGCAGACCGCGCCAGAGGCCCAGTGCTCCGGCATGACAAAGGGCACGCACTGCAGGGCCATGACAAAGACGGGCAGCGCGCCCAGCCGCTCCCGCGCCGCCGCGTCGCTCGTCCTGCGCGCGGGTGTGGCAAAATGCGGGCGGACACGGATTTCAGGTGAGGCGGGGCGGGGTGGCAGAGGCGGGGAGGCGTGCGGGCAGGTGGGAGGCGGGCGGGCGCGGGGTGGGGGGCACAGGGTTTGCGCCCCGCCCCGCTCGCGTGCAGCGCAGAGGCGGCGAGCAAGCACACCGCGCAGCAAGCAAGCAGCGGAAAGGGAAGGGAAGGCAGACCCAGGGGCATGCCAGCCCGCCGCATCAAATTCCTCACTTCATCATGCTCGTCACCCGGCTGAAGCCGTAGAGCTGGTGGCAGGCGGTCACGAGGCGGCCCAGCGCTAGCGCCAGCTTGGGCACGAGGCCGCCCACGCCGTACGCCTCCAGGGGGTTGTACCCTGCTCCGGGGGAGGAAAGGAAGAAAGTACGGCAGGAAGAAAGTAAGAAAGTAAGAAGAAACGAAGGAGAAACGAAGGAGAAAGAAGA